TCGTGCACCGATCGCAACAACTTCGTAACACATCTGTGAAACGTTGCGGGGGCGTTACTTAGCCCCTGTGGCATTACTAGCCACTCCCAGAGCATATCTCTGGGGTTGCTCACTGCTGTGTAAGGGATATCCCGCTCACGCATGAGGATCTGAAGGAATCCATCCATCAAATACATGGAAGAAAAGATGTTGCTATTTGCCATACCATCTATGATAGCATCCTTTCTTGAGATCGGTGTTTGAGCCGGTACCGTTGCAGCGTTCAATTTGTTGAACGCGAGCACTATCTGCCACCCTCCTTAACCTTTCGCACACAGAAGGTCGGAGAGCTGTGTAGGGATGTTGATTATCTCAAATGACCGGCCGCTGAACGATCGGCAAAGAATTTGTCGATCGCTTTTGCCTGTTCACGAGGCACCGGCCACTGCTTCATGACACAAAATTTCGAATCAGGTTTCAGCTCGACTTCATGTCAGGTGTTTTCTTCGTTAGGCAGCTCGCAAGGCACGGATTCAGGAAGACATCCCTAAATTCAATTAAATCCTTCTACAAAGAACTTTACTTCGAACACTGCCAAGATTGAGAAGTGCACCGCTCAATCCGAGTCTTCTCATCGAGGACAATCTCTTCCATCGATGAGCTACTGATAACCCGTTCGTTCTCAGTAAACGCTTGTGCCGATCGAACATCGGCGACGTTCTCTTCCTCTGTGACGAGTACGCAGATTTTCTTGATCTTGTCACTACGCAGATCTCGCAAGAATCTTTTAGATTCTAGCGTTGGAAACTTGAATACCTCCGAAGCTGAATTCAGGGGCGTAACCAGATCAAGTGTAAAAGCACCTACACTTGATCCGTCATTCACCAAGACATTCTCGGTGATTTCCTGGAAAAAACATCTGCAGGTGGTTGGGGATCCACACCCTCAACATTACGCTCTCGGGAGTTATTACTCTCAGGAACGCTGGAACTGTCTTCCAATACGTGTACAGACTGTGAGTGTACTACCACAGTCACGTCCTCTTCGATCGACTCTCTTTCAGTCTATCGGGTTTGCTCTACGATCGACTCTCTGTCAGTCCATCTCGCCTCAACGTGGTGTTCATCCCGAACAACACACATCTCTCTTCTTGGATACACCGTGCTTGGTGTGCATCCACGTACCAGTCCACTCAATCTTTTCGGCTGGTGAACCTCTGGCGCAGCCTGTGTCTCTACTCACGTGCCGGAAGCTAGTTCCGCATTGTAGTGGCCTAATATACTATGATCTTGTGCAGTCGGACTAACGACCATACCACAAGTGAGGCCATCGCACCCACTCGTTGTACATTCACACGATTTTGGACGCTCCAAGACGTTCATCAGATGTCCATATGATAAACAAACAGCAGGCTTCTTTACGGATCGATGCTGTCAGCTGACACATGGCTGGTATTTTCTAAGCCATGGCAGACCGAGGATGACATCAAATTTTTCATCCAAATCCAGTGCGATGAAGTCATCATCGCACTGCTTTCCTTCTAGCGTGTAGTGGATTCCCACTACACATTTGTTCACTGTTACGGATGCGCCTGTAGCAAGGCACACCGTCATCCTTGTTGGAGGGAACTCTCGCTCAACACAGCTGGAACTGCTACCTTGTAGCGACCGGCATCGAATAAAACTGTTCGACACCCCACATTGAACTAGGGTACGAGGCAGTCTTCCACTTGTCACTTCGATCCTTAAAGTGATGAGTGAAACCTCATCACCAGGGGCAGTAACACACAGTGACTGTGTGTTGAGAAAAACATTCGTCAAGAGGCCTGCAAATTCTCTTGACGTTGCTAAATCAAAAGGGTGCTTTGCTCCTACTGACCCTGACCGTTCTTGGCGGTCCGAATCGCCGTCGCGGTTTAGCGACATGGTCGGACCCGCGCCTTGGACCATTCCTCGGCCAACGGCAGAAATCACGTCCCGTTTTGGACGTAATGCGCTGCTTGGAACACTTCACTCATGAGCGTAGTGTCCAATCTTCAGGCAGCGTTGGCACCAATGGACCTCCGGTTTCCTGTCTTCTAGTCGGACGATAGTTTGAATGAGTTAGCCTGAGACTGTCTTAGGCATAAGTCTTCTTGTTCCGCATATGCTATCGCCCTGTCCAGCGTATGGAAGTCCTCTCGGAACATGTAGGTCTTCATTGGCCTGTCCACAAGGCCGTAAAAGAACACGTTGATGAGCGTGTGCTCATCAACAGGGGTTTCCGCGACGCTACTAGCAAGGTAGCGTAGGTGCTGTGCATAAGCGTGCACATCACGCTTACCTTGATTTAGCCTCAAGAGTGCGGAGCGTGCTCTGGACTCGGCTCTTAGCGGCTTAAAAGTCCCTTTGAGCCGAGACTTTAAGATCTCCAACGACTTAAACACGTTTGTGTCATGAAGCTTGAGCTCTAAGGACCAAGCCTTTGCTCGTCCTGTCAAATTTGACAGGGCGAAGGTGACTTGCACCTTGTTACCTTCGATGTGACGGGCTCAATTGACGTCGTCTAACTCGACGAAAAATCTAAAAAGGGAATCTTTATCGGTTTCCTTGTACCTTCAGATATCTATCTTCAAGGTTTCGGGTCGACACATGTGCGCAGGCCCGTCCATCGACTGATGAGAGCCTTGCTGTTGTAGCAAGGCTATCTTCTGTCTTTCAACGGCAAGGTTCCCTTGTAGGAACTTGTTGATAGCAGCATGTTGCTGGTCTCTGTGTAGAGACTCCAACATGCCACTAATGGCGGGTTCGCCCATGATTACACTCATGCGGCCGACTACCTCCCATTCTGAGTCATCCAGATGAGTCTAGCCGTCACGTGTGACGTCAAAGCTGTCGTCTTCTACGTCTAACATGTTCATGCTGGACGGACACTAAGAAGTCGTTGGACGGAATACGAAGTGCTACCAGGTGTAACGGGACACCCTTTGTTTAAGGTGCCACGAAACTTCACGTACACTCGTACGTGCAGAGGAAGCTAATCTACTCAAATAGCTAGTTTGAGTAAAGGTAAAAAGAGAACTGTATTAATATAGTTACGCTATTAATACAAATTCAGTTTTTATCCAACTGTATTAATCTACAATGACGCATGACGACAACCTACTCACCACTCATTACGCGCGCCTAGCAGCGATTGGTGGTTATCTTGGTTGATCTGTCTTTCATCAACCAATCTTCGAGCAGGACATGAATACTATCCTAAGGGATGATATTCCTTCAATATTATCCGTCTCGGATAATATTGGTAGGGAATGGTCACGCTAGAAAATCTCCTTATTAACACCGTTTGGTGTCAATATTATGTAACCGACTACCCCGTTACAAAGTGCGTGAAAGCACACACTTACACCAAAGCAGCGTACATTCGAGGTGGACATGGCCTACAAGGTCCTAAAAAGATCCGCTTTGTCTTCCTGGATTAAATCGTCTGTACAGTCTTCGATCCATACTATGATCGGATTACAAGTGCCTTTTTTTTGTTGTGCAAATGCAACACAAATTTCACCCAGTGTTGCGCATCAGGCAATGTAAACTAGTGCGGTGGTTTTGTGCATTTCTCCGTGGTGTCGCGGGCGATTGGTTTGTCAACTATGATCATGTTGTCACAGCTACAGACCGCGCTACGATCTTCTATGTTTAGTCCCGATGTAGCGGTGGGGGGAGCGATCGATTGTAAAGAAACGAGTCGTGTGCTATAAACATTTGCTTCTTTCCAATGCCGATTCATGTGCTTATCAGGTAGAGGCAACACTTGCTCAGACAAGGAATACAATAGTCAAGTGTTGCAGATTCGTACCACATCAAATCTTGACCAAAGAATCGAAAGAGCTGCTGATGACGAAGTTGCAGCTTCTTCCATGACTCCATCAAACATTGCATCAAGTACACAGCTATGCAGTCTGGCACCTTAATCATACACACGTAGAAACAAGCCTGAGGGCTGTAAGTTGTATCGATCGACCTTCGGAATAATCACACCTAGTCTCCCTTCTGTTTAGTACCGTATCTGCGTTCGACATGAGCCGATCTTGCTCGAGGGTAGCTGTGATTATCAGTACGGCCCTCGACGCTTCAACATTACAAATATGCTCATCGAGCCCTCACTTTCTCCTGTTGGCTTTGTATAACTTCTTAGCAGCTCATAAGCTGAATGTCTTCAATACGTTACAACTAAGTAAGCGACCGTCGCAACATACAACATGAACTCTTTCAGGACATTCAACAACGTATCGCGATGATACTAGCGTTTTTGCACCAGAAGAAGCTGCGACCGGTGTGGCAGCGACGGCCTCGACACAGACGTCCTTAGTCATGAGCACAGAATAGAGACAAACGATGGTGTTTGTACATCTTTGTCCAGATTTTGCAATATCCCACCTGTGGCTAAACGACAGCTTCCTGCTACTCGTGCAATGCCTCCTGACATTGTAAATTTCGAAAGCAATCTGCTTGGTTATTCTCCCATCGTGAGGATCGATGATTTATCGACAGGTTGCGGACATGGCAATGTCTTTAGAAGTCGCTCACATTTGCTGAGCGAGAAGCGTATTGAAGCCATCCACGAATCTAACGCCTCAACTTGCTACCCAATGGACCCATCGATTGGAAGCAGCGCGTCCTTATTTCCACCTAAAAACGTCGGACCTTACCCGTGGCCAAGTGCTTTATGCTCCAGCTATTGGTCCGTATTCCTTAAAACAAAAACTTGACAGGCTCAACAGTCGTCGTCCATGCTGTGTCCACTCAACCTTTTGCTGGTGTCCATTCATTGCTACGAAAAAGGATCAGTTAAAATGGAGCATCAAGCGACGTGGTCTGAAGGAACCCCCTGAGGCACTAACCACTAGCCCACTCATCTCGCCCAAAGCAACAGTGCGCGAGCGACGCGCAGGTGAAGCTCCGGTAAAAAAAGAGTGCGTACAGCCCACACGCAGTATCAATACATCTCTCTCTCCATCTCTCTCTCTTGGTCCTCACCCAATGCAATTGGTTTACAGGTTTTTGAAGCCCAAGGCACCACTGAAAGCTTCGACATCCACTCCAGACAAAGATTTGGAGGATGCAAAGACTGATCCAGTTGTGAAGGATGACCGCGACCGTGGCCAGAAGAAACGCGGTGGGACCTTCAAGAAGCGCCCAATTGATGCAGAGCAAGACCCAGCAGAGACGTTGTGTCGTCCTGTGGCCTCTGGTGAAGGCTGCAAGTTTGGTGACGACTGCAAGTTTAGTCATGACATGAGCGATTACATGAAGCGCAAGCCGAAGGATCTCGGCGACCGCTGTCCGGTGTTTGAGGCCATTGGTTACTGTCGCTATGGCGTTGCTTGTCGGTTTGCTAATGCACATGTTGAGTGCGTGGATGGGGTGTATCGCAATGTGAAGCGGGAAGGGTACGTGGAGATGCAGGGTCACGACTTGGGCAATGAGACGAACGATCTCACTCATGACTTGCGGCTGAAGCTGCGTAAAGACACGTACGATTTCCACTCGAAGCAGCAGATGAAGAATGTAAAGAAGAACGGCGGTGGTCGGAAGCGTCAGCAGCGAAACAAACACGAAGAGGAGGTTCCGTCAGTAGTTGGGACAAGTGAGACCGGCGAGGATGCAACTGCAGACAAGCTGGACCCGCCTTCTGAACCAGTGCTACCGGAGTCAAGTGCTGCACAATGTGCCTCGGAAAGCGTCATAATCGAACCTGCAGCTGAAAGCGCACTGGTAGCGGAACGGAAGCCCGTCGACTTCAAGCGCAAGATCTACATCGCCCCGCTCACGACGGTAGGTAACCTGCCGTTTCGTCGCTTGATGAAACAAACAGGAGCCGATATCACATGCGGTGAAATGGCGATGGCCACAAATCTGCTGAAGGCTCAGCAGTCAGAGTGGGCGTTGCTGCGACGCCATAAGAGTGAAGATGTTTTCGGTGTGCAGCTTGCGGGGTCGTACAGTGATCAAATGGCCCGTGTGTGCGAGCTACTTGCGCGCGAGACGGATGTTGATTTCGTGGACATCAATATGGGTTGTCCGATCGATATCGTGTGTCGTACTGGCGCAGGATCTGCACTGATGACCCGTCCACCACGATTACTCGAGGTCGTGTCTGGTGCATTGACTGGACTAGAACTTGGCACGCGCATGCGTACGGGTGGTATCGTGAACACACCGGGGCTTACCGTAAAGCTTCGCACTGGGTGGAGCGACAAACAACCGACTGCTCACAAGTTGGTACCCAAGTTGCAGGCCGTGCGCGCTTCACAGGCTTATGTGAATGCTGCAGTGGTGACTGCTGACTTTAAGCTCCGTGCTACGCAATCCGTGGACGCAATCATGATGCATGGCCGTTCACGGTTACAGCGCTACACGAAAAACGCTGACTGGGATTACATCTTCCAGTGCAGCGACGCAAGAAGAGATGGTCTCGATGACAGTTTGTTACCCCAGGTACCGTTCGTTGGTGGTGGCGATGTGCTTTCGTTCGAAGAGTTTGATGATCACCTACAAAACGGCAAGCTGGACACGTGCATGTTAGCACGCGGTGCGCTGATCAAGCCGTGGCTTCCCACTGAGATTAAGGAACGTCGCCACTGGGACATCTCGTCTTCGGAGCGCTTTGACTTGCTGAAGGACTTTATCCGCTTTGGGCTGGAGCACTGGGGCTCGGACCAGAAGGGCGTGAATCGCACTCGTCGGTACCTGCTCGAGTGGCAGTCGTTCCTGTGTCGCTACATTCCTGTCGGATTGTTGGAAACTCTTCCTCAGCGCATTAACGACCGCCCATCGCCTTATTACGGACGTAATGACCTCGAGACGTTGATGGCCAGTGATCAAGCAGTCGACTGGATCAAGATCTCTGAGATGCTGCTTGGCCCTGTGCCGCATGACTTCCAGTTCGTGCCCAAGCATCGTGCTAACGCGTACCAAGCTGGTTCATCGAATGAATGGTAGACACTTCAATCACGAGTTCATGTAGCGCACGCCTGCTTTGTTGCTCAACCGATTTTGCACTTGGCCTTTTGCTATGTGAGCCCACAAGTGGTGGCACATTGAAGCGCTCACTCACTCACTTGGTACAGCAAAGGCGTTAGGACCCATCACCAGTGTAATTCCTTCGCTTCACCCTTCATGCGACTGACCCTTTCATCTTGTGGCAATGATCAGGCGAGCTAAGCACATGAACCTGAAAGCGAGAGGGTTTACGTTACAGCAACTCGCCGCGAACTTGATGCTGTTGTACCACTCCATGTTTCCGACACGGTGCGTGCCACACGTTGCGCGGAGACGCTGACTCGACAGCAGTCTAAAGAGGCTGCCGTCGACTGGACGTAGCGACGTGTCGATAGCTACTCCGCTTGTCAATCTGCTTTTTAACAACAGTAAATGTCCGTTAGAAGCAACGCGTCAGTTTTGCCCTGGCCCATAGGAGGAGCTATTGTATGCTTCGCTCAACTTAGACGACATGCTTCGCCGCAGTCGAAGGTCCTGCGGATCGTAAAAGCCTCGCATCGAGCACATCCGGCATGAGATCGTCACTTCAAGAGCTCGGAACTGATTCGACGCCACACATCGTGTATATAAAGTCCTAGCAGTAATCTTTCCGCCGCCGGACAGTCGAGACCAGAAACTGGATGCTGTAAATGATGCAGCTTGAACGTTTTCTTGACCACGATTCACAACAGTGTCAAAACTGCCACGACCACACGGGGCTGAAGCGTAAACACGTCGCCGTGCGGAGGTAATCAAGTCGGTTTCCAAATTATTTGATGATGAGCGATTGACACGTCGTAACCACCTTGTCGTCCCATGCTGCTCGCTCTAACAAGTCACGGGAGCTTGCATACGCTCGTTAAATGATTCTACAAAGCAGACGTGCCTGTTGAATCTTTAAGGGATGCAAGATATCTGAGACGTATCCAATACCTGATAGCGATGCCAGTTCCTCTTGCAAGTCTGGTAGTATGTTGTACGGGACACATCACCTCGAGTGACAACAGCTCCGGGTTCTGTTTACTATCGTTTTGCTTCGGCACAACAGCAGACACGCTCCTTCTGGTGTCGAGTCGACCTGCTGGTGCCTTCCCACTATGCGAAAGATGGCAGCTGCTGCATGACGTTTTCCAGATCTTCTTGACGCTGGCTTTGATGGAGATGTCCGCGTTTGAGAACCGTTGTTCGGTACTCAACTGTACCCCCAAGCAAGTGATGAAAGCACTGCCCAGTTCTGCCAAGGAGATGTGCGCGACTGTCTTCTATACACCACAGCAGCACCGTCGCATTTGATAGCTAATGCCACATCCTCTCCCAGTAAGAAACACATTCAGTTGCCGCGCTGTCATCGATACGTGACCGAGGCCTGCAAGTCCGTGCTCTCGTTGTCGTAAGCTTCAATTTCCGGTGGTTTCTATGGTAACGCTGCAGCCCGCCACGCGCTGTCTATGCTTGCACCCGATGCTTCTCATAATTCCAGGCAGGAGAGGACATGTGGATTTGCCATAGAGGCGGGCACAATCCAGGGAGATCCGTGGACGAGTAGCCGTGATTCTCGTCCAATGTCCTTTCCAATGGATCACGTAGCATGATGGTGAGGTCGAGATTAGTAGCATCTGCAACACGTGTGTCACGCGAAGTTGTGTCACACGTCACATGGTCAAGCTACAATATTGGTTCCTTCACTTGTCGCTGCCCCATTCGCCTTGTGCGATACGCATGAAATGGCGCTTGTACGTGACCGTAACGTGTTGAAGCCTGTTACACACACACATGTGGAAACAAGTGATCAGTCTACGGATGCATCGTGGTGACCAAATATTAGTGTGAGTAATCAGCGACAAACTCGTGCGTGTTTCTCTGCGAGCGCAAGACTCGTGAAGCTTCGCACTGAGTTTCGATACGACGATGGCTGTATCGATTCATCCAGCGAGAAGTCTCTTCTTTGCAATGAAGAAACCTGGCATAGCTGTGCGCGTCCAGCACATTCGTGTGACTCGCGCTCGACAGGTGACAGCCGATTATTACTGCTAATGCTTGGTGCAGGAGCCGTAACCAATGTTTACGATCCTGCCCGACACTTGCACTTGTGTTAACGCCCATCGTCCCGTTTACTGAATCTGTCCCGGGGTACATGGATCATTCGAGCTGCAAAGACGTGCACCGACAGAATCTCGTCAAGCACTACCTCTTTCGGATCAGACGTCTGTCTTCGCAACCTTGTCGCGTCGAGTCTTTGCGTTTCACTTCAGCTTGGATGCAACAGAATCACTCTGTACAGGCCCATACGAATTCCAAGTAAAGACCCCACCGAAGAGACAGTAGCACGGCCTAACCCCCCTCTCACGAGACGCCGCCCACCTCAGCTTCGACACTTATCAATCATCACTCGCTCGCTCTTGCCAGCCCTTCATGCCCGAGAGCAGAGCGGGCTATACGGAGCCACCTACACAAAGCATGAAAAGGAATAGACACCATTTCACACAGCTGTGTCACAGCGGAAGCAGCACGCCGCGTCTGAACGTCGGCGTCTTCTCTAAGCGCAAGGGTGTGTGTTACCATCGTGACGGGCAAGTGCACAGCTGCCGCTTTTGCGAAATTCTGCGCACGACGGCCGAGCCGTTCCTGTACCAGGATGAGCACATAGTTGTCTTTCGTCCACTACGTCCGATCGTACCCAGCCATGTACTTATCGTGCCGCGTGCACACATCCGGAACGTAAATCGGCTCGCTGCAAAACATCGTGGACTGCTTGCACGTATGCACCATGTAGCCACGACGTTCATGACCGGGGGATTCGAGACTGAAACGGAGGCGGAATGCGTCGGGCTACAGCCACAGGAACTGAAGGATTTTCACGGACACCGTGTCCACTACACCTTCCACGTGCCGCCGTTCAATAGCATTGACCACGTGCATATGCACGCGTTCCTCGACGACCCGTGCACCTTAGGATACTATGGACGACTGAAGTACCGCACCACGTCTTGGTGGTGTCGCTCGTACGACCAAGTCATGGCCAGGCTAGAGAAACTGGCTGTCGACGTCCAAAATGAGTGTGTTCGTACCGACGAAGAAACGCCATCACCTGCTGGTCCACCATTTTCGCCGGAGCAAGCTTGACGGCGCAAGGAGGGATGGTCTGCACCAATTCATTTGTAACGCAAGCCAAAATTGCGTCTATCCAGTCTTAGTCACTGCTGCCATATTCGAGCCGAACGTGTGAGGAAGTGCTGCGACGAGGAGTGGCAGGCCGCCATCCGCACAAAATCGCTTCAATATCTTGCAGACTGCGTCGACTGGTTTCGGGAATGTACCACCACGACAGGACAAGTCCAGCGATATTGCACAGCACGACCATCCCGACACAGACGTCGAAGACTGATGCTGCGTGCGGCATGACTTTGCGGATCATCGGGAGCGCGTGTGCAAGTCCAAGATTGACAACTGCTTCCCAGATCACGACGAGACTAACAGCGCCAACGCGCTGCTTCACGGCGAAGAGTTCACCAACCATGATCACAGGCAACACTCCGAGGCCAAGCTGGTGCCCTGCATTGGCCAGCAACATGGCAGCCCAGCCGGAATCACTGAGCGACACGCTACTGTCTTTTCCCAACTGAGTGCTTTTCGAGGTAGACATGAATAGAAATGCGCAAGTGAGGGTCACCAAGTAACATCCACACTGCAGCGTCGCAAGCCGCCCTCTTGTGTCAACGAGGTAGTAGCACGCGCTCACACCCACTGCAGCAGCGACGGCGACAGTCATCGTCACGGCCATAAGTCCTTCGTCAGTGCTTTCAACTGCAACACCAAAAATGGTAACGACAAACGAGCCGTTCGTGTACGTTCCACCGACACCACCGCTGCTTGCTCCTGTACGTGAAGAGATGATTGCTGGCTCGAGCAGAAAGGCGCTCACTGCACGTAACGAAAAGAGTGCGGCACACAAGAGCACGGGACGAAAGAACGCGCCATGATGGCGCCTTTCGGTAGCAGCCAAGACTTTTGCATGAATCAGAGCGTTCGTCTCGTCCTCGGCGATACGTTCATCCCGGCTAAAGAGTTTGTACAGCACTTCAAACGACGCTTCGCGGTCGTCGTGGCGTGCAATGAGCCACGTGGGCGAGTCCGGGAGCTTTTGCGCGAGCAGCAGTAGCAGCAAGGCCGGCACGACACCCGCAAGTGCCAGTGCTTTCCAATCACTGAGGTTGAAACTCACGTACTGCCGACTCATGGACATGAAAAGCGCGCCAAGTGCCACGTAACTGATTGTTCCAATGAACGAAGCAAGCAACTGTTGCACGCAGAGGACCCGTCCACGCGTATGCGCAGCACTCGCTTCAGCTAAATAGACTGGTACAATGACACGGATGATACCTGCCGCGATCCCGAGCAAATATTGTCCAATCAGAACCGAGAATTCGCTAAATGCGATCCCAACGAGGACCCAGCCAATCAGAAACGGCAGCGCCGCCAGCTCCAACGTGCCTGCTCGTCCGAGACGGTCACCGCAGTAGCCCGCAGCTGCTGCGCCGAGCACTGTACCCAAGTGGAGACACGAGCGGAAAAAGAATGCGGCGTGCTCGCGACGCGCTCGGAAGACGTCGACTTGCATGTTGTAGAGACTTGTGGGGGAAATCGGGAAGAGCTTGAGCCAGGTACATGCGATGCCTGCTATGCCCATGGCAGCGACGTGGAGGGCGAAGAAGGCGTTGCATTGATGCGCTTGTCGCTTGTGGCGGTCCTCGGGTCTGCAGCAGCAGTCAATGAATGAATGAATAAATCAATTAATTCGTTTAATTAATTGTTTCATCGATCACATCATTGACCTATTTATAGATCACTGATATAAAAATAAGAGCAATAGATGTGGCTACATAAAAAGGCATGCGACAGGTGTGGAGACTTTAGATGTGCGTACCGAGAATTGACCGGCGTGCTCTCGTTGCTGGGAGAGAGCTCGGACACGTGCGAGAGCTCGAGCAGCGGCGCTGAGATGTACTGGTGCGGCACGAACGCAAAGTCGCTGCGCGGCGGATCCCGTAGACATTCGACGAGGTACAACCAACTGCGTGGTCGTCGATGCGCAATCGTTGTCGTCATTGTCTTTTGCCTTAGTGCGCAATTCGTGCGACCTTTTTGCCCGTCTTGAAATGGGTACACTGAGGCAACAGCTAAGACCGGACTAAGACTTTCTGTGTTGACACGGGACCTTGGCGTGTCAAGCGCGCGTGTCGCTTCTTTATTTTGGTCCAATGAACGTTGAGTATTGTTTCGTTTTTGTGCCTCGGATCGTTTTTGTGTCGTTACTAAAAGTGTCTACCGACGTCACGGTTCACGACGGTATTCAGGACGCACTGCCGTCGTCCAGTGCCGCATATTTCTGTGTCAAGTCGCTGCCCAAGTGCTTTTTCCAGCGAAACACGTTGATACACGAGTACAGAAACGACTTGATCCGGACCTTTGCCGCTTCTCGGCGCGTCTTGGGGAACGGCGTCGTGTCCAGACAGACAACGCCTGGCAACGAAAACATGTCGCTGTAGCCCATTCCAAACACAATGGCACCGGGACCCCATTCCTTCACGTAATTTGAAAGCTGCGTCGAGATCAGCCGCTTACTCACAATGTGCGCGCCGTAGTAGTTTTTTGCATCGATCCACCGGATCGGCACGCCATTTATGACCACAGGGTCCAATAGCAAAATATCCGGAGAAATGACGCGGCGGCCGTGACGCGCAATTTGGTCTGCACATAACTCGCTCTGGGTTCTGTATCAGGTAACATCAGTGATTACCACACAACATCCATTTTTGCCAAATTAGCTTCGCCATCGATGATTAATCCAAACACAGCGTGCGACAATTGTGCGTTGGAGAACAAAAACGTACTTGAGCCGAATTCCCTTGGCTTTGAGAAAGTGCTCCACCGCCCTTTCGAGCGAGTCGGCATTGTACTTGGGTACACCAATGAACGGATCGCTCTTGTGGATACTGTCGTATTCAATAGCTTTGCGCAATTCGTGCTGATCACGCTTGGACAGGTTCTCGCTAGGTCGTGCCAGCGCATTCTACAGCCACATCCACAAAAACACACACAATCCATAAGTTACATCCAATCGCCCTGTAAAATCTCGTACACAACAATAGAAATAAGCACCATACCTTAATCTCCACCTGGCTCTTGCCTTTAGCTCGAAGAATGACTCGCATGAGCGACACTGGCGGGTAGTTATGTACCGTCGACAGCTCAATGAGGCTGCGGCCGCTATCGTATTCCTTGCAAATAGCAACTCTATCACGACGCACTCGATGCGTATTGACCAATAACGACATGCGCAACAGCTGTTTGCGCAAGTTGATCGTCATGTTGGTAGTGATAGGCAGCATCTGCAGTAGTTCGTCAATGTGGTTCACTTGCTGTCGCTTGAGACGGCGAAACGTTTCTTGCTGGAGAATCAGTCCTGCGGCTTGCGTCTCCAACACCTGTGGGATCGGAGTCACAGGCCAATCTTGCTCGATTGGCACCAGGTCACCAAACTTTTTCCGTGCATTTCGAATGTCATTCTTCGTCAGTGCCATGTAACTCGGTCCATTGCGGTACACGGACGACTGCATGGACGAGTAGACGGACGACATGGCAAAGCACGGGTCTAGTCCGACAGCACGCACTCCTTCCATCACTGTCAATGCACGGTCCTTACGGCCTGACTCGAGTGACGTGAGCGACATAATCTCCGGCTCGACTTCCGACAGACGCATCTCCATCAAAATATCAAAAAAGGCGTCCGAACGCCAAACAATTGACGCACGCAGTAGCCAGTGCATGTACATGTGCACGGAAATCGGTCGCAGCAGACGAAGCTGCTTCAGCACCTTGATAGCACCATCCAGATACTCCTCGCGGTAGCAAATGTCCAAGAAACGGTTGTAGTCTGCCAAGTCCAGCTTTATCCCAGCTCTTTCCATCAGACCCCAAAGCTCGATTGTTTCTGCAGCAGCAGACGCTTCATCACAGGCAGTCAGTAATGTACGCAATGTTGACTCTTCTACTTTGCGTCCTTGATTGAGCATCGCACGAACGATGCGAAGACCCTCAGCTGGTTTCCTAGCCTCGCAGCATGCCAGGACGCCTGGCGTCAGAAAGTTCTCGTCCAAGTATGGGTTGCCAAAGTTGCGGTACAAATCAAACAGCTCGTGCGCGCTGTCAAACGACACTCGACGTAGCTTCGTGATCAGCGACGCGACCTCCATCTCACTTGGTAGCGTCTTCTGCAACGCTGCAATCTCCTGTAGCGTCAGTGTAATTTGCTCGGTCTTGACATCTTTCAGCGGCAGTGGCTCGACCACCAGCGCCTTTTCTGCCGTCTCAGCCGTTCCCGCTCCACCAGCTTTGTCTCGAGCTTGTACATTGTTTGGTCTGCTCGTCAGCGCTTTTGTATCCACAGTGGCTACACTAACAGCTGCCACTGCATCAGTCTTGGTATCTTGTTCCACAGCCTTTGCCAGCATGTCCTCTTCCATGTGCTTCTGGGACACGGGAGCCTTTTTTCGATGCTTCTGCTTTGACTTGAGCTTCTTCCTCGGAAACGACAGCGGCTTGTCTGCAGCTGCTGCATCAACTGCGTTCACCTTATCTACTGCAGCATCAGCTTCAGCAGCAACAGCATTCGGTACAGGTTTATCAACAACAGCGGTCGGTACGACTTTCTTCTTGACCAGTTTACTCTTGCGACGCTTGAGTTTACTCTGACTGGCTGCATCAACAGCTGGAACTAGAGCAGAAGAAGCACCCGGTACTGCAGCAGTCTGTGTAGAGCGCAGCAGAGCATACGGCAGATGAGAGAACGCGTCGAGCGTGCGGCCAGACGGAGCACATGGACCGCAGACTCGTCCAAGACGTCGAGCAGCGGGTCGCAACAGCATTGGTCAGTCGACTGGTCAAGACGGAGTGGCAGTGGTGGTGTGAATGTTGCGCGAAGGTCGCACACCACCGCCCCATGCCGACCAGTGAAAGTAAAGAAAAACTCAAGTGACAATCTCCGTCCGTCCGTTCAATTGATTGATTGGCTGGTTACTCCATCGGAAGAAAGTGGGTACAAATGGCGGAAGCTACTGACGCCGCGGCGTTCGTCAGCGCCTTGTACCGCAAGGTCCTGCTCTCAGTGAAAGCCTCGAACGCAGTCGTCTCGGAAGACGACGGGTTCCACTACCACGCGCAGTTCAGCCCCGAGTTTGCGCTGGGTGCCAAGCAATCGAGTGCCAAAGCTGCAGCGCTCGTGCAGCTATTGACCAAGCGTCGACGTGGTACCAATAGTGAAGCAGCTACTGCTGACGAAGATACTGGAGACGAAGACGAGCCAAAGGAGCTCTTTGATGGACCGGAACCGAACACGCGCGTGACTGACTATGCCGATATGTTGCTGGACGAGGCGGCCATGCACTTGGCCCGTTTTATGCGCGGCGAAGCTCCCGACACGTCGGTACCGAGTGGGAAAGAGTCGCTGGAAACCAAGCGGGAGGTTGTGGGGCAGCAGCGTGGAGAAGCAGGAGATGCTCGGGACAAGAAGCTGATGTCAGGGACGCTGCAGAGCAAGCCGCAGGAGCAGTTTGACGAAATGATTGACAACTCGGATGCGCCGTTTGTGTCGAAATTACGTAACAAAGTTTACGCGCAGAACGATGGGAGGACAATGGATGATGGTGATGGTGAAGAAGACGATGACGTGGTGCGGCGACATCCGTATTTTCCAGAGATTAAAGGACTGAAGTATGCCAAGTGGCAATTAGAGGCACCGGACGAGCCGTTTGAGAGAGTTGGACTGGATAAAGCCACGTACATGTGGGTCGACTCGACGGAAAAGCTCGTGCAGATGATGGAGACTTTGATGGCAGCTGAAGCTCGAGTGATTGCAGTGGACCTGGAACATCACAGCTACCGGTCGTACATGGGACTCACGTGTCTGATGCAGATCTCGACGATGGACGCCGATTTTCTGGTTGACACGCTCGCGTTGCGGGGCAAGTTGCAGACGCTGAATCAGGTTTTCTGCGACCCTGAAAAGGTCAAGGTGTTGCATGGCAGTGACATGGATATCCTGTGGCTGCAGCGCGATCTGGGTCTGTACATTGTCAACCTCTTTGACACGGGCCGCGCAGCGCGATTGCTGCAGTACCCGCGCTTCTCGTTGGCATACTTACTGAAGCGTCACTGCAACATCGACGCGGACAAGCAGTACCAGCTTGCAGATTGGCGCACTCGTCCGTTAAGCAAGAACATGGTCAGGTACGCGCGCGAAGATACTCGCTACTTGTTGTTCATTTACGACCGTCTCAAGAAGGAACTGCAGCAGGCTGGATCAAAGTCCCGTGAAAGCCTGCTTTATCAGACACTGCAGAACTCCAATAAGCTCTGTTTGCAGGTGTATGAGAAGCCCCAGGTTACAGCCGAGGACGCTCTTGCTCTTGGTGAAAAGCTGAAAGATACAGTCAGTATCCGCGTGTTGTCTGAGCTTCACAAACGTGTGACCGTGGCACTTTATATGTGGCGCGACCGCATTGCTCGACAGGAAGATGAATCGGTGGCCTATGTGATGCCGAACCACGTTCTGATGAAGCTCGTCAAGCGTCTGCCTGTACGATCCGATGAGCTGTCCCGCGCTTGTCACCCGGTGCCATTGCTCGTTCGTAAGCACGCACTGCAGGTCACTGAGATGATTCTTGCTGAAAAACAAAAGCTTGCTGAGGAAGAGTCTAAAGTGGTACAAGAGCCGAAGCGTGTTGCTGCTATCAAGCCATCGAGAAAGATTTGGAACGAAGCCGGAGAGGAACAGATAGTATCGTTGCCGGGATCAAAGCGTGTTGGACGTGCCGACCATGCTCCTTGGAAGAGTGGTCAGCGTAAAGCTGGTGTCGCGATGGCTTCAGCTGGATTATTATCGTGTAGCGAAGTCCACCCTATGTCCCTAGGACTCAATGTGTCAAAGACTGTTGACGACCCAGAGGCAGCAGCCACGCTGCTGGATCAAGTGAACGCTATGGTTGCGAGTACGACTTTCACGATTGCAGCGAGCGGGCCAGTTCAAAGTCCAGTCATCCAGCGTACACTGCTGTCTGAGGCTCCTCGCAAAAGCGATAGTAGTGCCGAAATAGCCAAGCTAAAGGTCCCTCAGTCCATTTCCGAGACCTATCACATGTCGAGCCGATCGAAGCGGCAGAAAACAACACCCATGGACACGTCTTCGGCACTTCAAGTCAAGGATCGTGCGCAGACTTTTCTGCAGAAGGTCGAAGGCGAAGGCGGTGAGAATAACGACGCCGAGGACAAGATCCGTTTCCAGGACTTTGACTATGCGGCAGCCAGCGATCAGGTCACAGCAGCGAAGTTCCAATTGAAAAAGGACGAGGACGAAGGACGCAATGGAGGTCAAGGTCGTGGTCGAGGTCGTGGTCGTGGTCGAGGCAACAACAATAAAACTCCGGCCGGCTACAATCCGTTTGTAGCCATGAGTAGTAGCCATGGCGCCAATCAGTCGTCCAACAACGACAGCAACAAAAATGGGCCCAAAGCAGCACAAGTCAAGAGGATGCACCACATGCCGAGAAGTGCGACGTTCAGATAAACAAAAGACGCCATGCAATTTTCTGCGGATACACGGTCCTTTATGCTAATTCTTGTCCCCATTGTGCCGATACACACAAGTCTCCACGTGATCACTCGCGGTCGACTTTGGCAGTCGTCATCAGTTATTGGCTCGCTTTTGATTGGTCGAAATGTGAGTATTGGCACAGTAAGTAGCTCGTGCCAGTGAAAAGCGATTACGCAGCCGAAGTCCCGATGGTTCCAGGTGACGCGCGCAAGCGCGTCTCGCCCCCGTCGTTCGAGTCTAATGGGGGGAAACGCAGTGTAAGGAAGCGCAAGACTATGAGGAAAGATGCTGGTGATGCAGGAGTAACTTTGCGGAGCGGTGCACGCGAGACAGAGGACTGCAAGCTGGACTCGATCAAGACAGGGGAAGACGTCTCCTCGTCCTCTTTTAGGACCAAACGTGGCGTGACTCGTGACTTGGACAATGACAGTCGGAGTAGGTACTTGAAGCTTAGTGTCTTGGCTCCATGGTCATGCTTTCATGGACGTTGTAGGCGTCGTACTTACAGATTTATTGGACTTGTCTTGAGTTGTTCCGTAGACGTGGAAACGGCTGCTACTGAGGACTCGGATGAACAGGAAACGGAGATGAGAAACGGAGTGCACAGTAGGAGGAATGCGGTTGCCAAGTCGGTATCGACGGAACCAGCTACGAAACGCTTACAACGCACTGCCAAAGTAAAGATGCAACCGAAGACCCCTGTTTCGGTCAAGCCAAAAGCGAAGCTTGTGAGTAAAGCTGCGCCGAAGCGGAAAGCACGGACGCAAGATGATAAGGTGAAGGAGAATGCGCCGTTGGTGATGCCGTTTTTTGTCGAGACAGGAGCTGAGTGGAACAACACGAACGTTGACTTTGATGAGTTGAGTACGTTACGGTCGCAGTGGGAGCTGCTGGCAGCGTGCCACATTCTATGGTTGCTGCAGAGCCCTTTGACGCTGCACTTTTCGGACACGCTGCTCGAATATGAAGCCGCGTTGCTGAAGCCGGAAGCGAGTCCAGTGCTGGAGGATGTGTTTACAAAGTTGCTGTTGAAGAAGAGCGAGCGAGCGTGTCTAAGTGCTGGAATCGGTCTCAAGTATGAGTGGTGGAACAAGCAGCTGCGTGTTTACTACCTCGACATGTATGACAAGTGGTACGCGTTGCTACGTAAGGCGGGCGAGCGGCTTCCAGGCTCTTTTTCGCAAGATGAGGACGATGATGACAGTGATGTTTCGAACAGCGAGACCGATGAGCAGGTGGAGGATGAACTCACGGAAGATGAGTGGCTGACACTTGACATCCTGAAGGCACGTCTTGAAACGCTTGGCGTGGTTTGCCCATTGAAGGTGCGTACTCTGATCGAGTATATAGCTATGCTAGCGCGACGTCGTCTCTTATATTCTTCTTTTGCTTGACTCACAGCATCAGTCATTTGCAGACTTGTCGATCGAGCTGCGATGCAAGATTTTGCTAAATTTGTGTGAGGCCGTTATAGATGACCCAAGCAACACGTGCGTATTCCCTTGGTGCTCGTTTGCTGAGGATCAGTGCTTCATTGCGTTGGATGTTTGTGTGCATGCTCACTCATTGTGCTTCCTGCCCCTATTTGTGCTCATTGGAACAGTGAATACATGCGTCAGATGGAAGACGACGACCTACGTGTAGAGCCGCTCGGCAACGACCGCGCTGGAAACTTGTACTATTTTTTCCCGCAGTTTTACGAGGAACGGCGACTGTATCGATTGGACCCGGAGACGCGACAATGGGCTCTTTGGGCCAAGGGAGACGACGCATTCCATTCCATGTTCAAAGCGATGAAGAGTATTGGTGGACGTAAGATTCGAGGCGAGCAAGAGCTGCTGGATCATTTGGAAGTCATCATAGAGCAGATCGAAGATGAGGCTGCAGCACGCGCACGGCAAATGGAGAAGGCGAATCGTCTCGCGATTCTCGAGGCAATTCCGCGCAAGCGTTCGCTCCGTCTTCAAGTGAAGCAGCTGGTGCAAATGGAGAAACATCAAGAGGAACTCAAGCACCTGAAGGACCTTTCAATGGAGGAAATCGCAGCGATGAAGCAGATGGAGTCGTTGGATAAAGCAGAGCGAGGAGATGAGAAGGAAGTGCGTGACGCCGAGCGCGAAGCACGGCGCTTGCATCGCGATCAGGTCGAGTACGAGGGGATCGTAGCTGCTCGGAAGAGTCCGCCAATTTGAGAACAAGCTGGCAACAAGCTAGAGACAAGGAAGGAATGCTCGTGCAACAAGCACTGAGTTTTTGAAGGACGCAGGGACCCGTTTCGCGTCCGTCGGTGATTTGTGCTTGAAATGTGGCAAGAAGCAGAGAAGAAGACGAGAGAACGATGGTCACATCGTCGTCCGCGAGGCTTTCAGCAGGTTTCAGTCCGCACTTCGAAGCGCGACGGACGTTATGGGAGACGAGTCGAACGGGAGATGCATGTCTCAGTATGTAAAAAGTCATGACAGTGCTTCCTCTAGAGCAATGGCCACAACAGGACGACCAGTGCCGTGGGTTCGACTTCGTTCGTCCGTGTGTGATGTAATAAGTAATTGTCCTTTCTCTTAACACATCGATCACGATGATTACCGCTCGAGCAGTCGTCCCGTCTGCTTTGCTGCGATCTAAAGTGCACAGTCATTCATCAAATCTCACGCTGTCGTGCTCGCGTTGGCAATTTACATCAAGTGATTGCTTATCATTTGTCGATAAGAGACGGGACAGATCGGTCTCGTCGCCGTCGTCCAGGATGATCTGGTCGTAATCGCCTCTGATCTCAGCAAACACTTTTCCACAGGAGCGCGTGTCAATCATCTCTGGCCTTCAAGGCAATTCCTGCCGATCGGAGTATTTATAAGCCTTCTGGGCGCCACACTGGATACATGTTGATGATGCCCAGCCATTTAGCTAGCCAACCCGCGCGTTTACTCGCCCGTGCCACCATCAATTGCTGCTTTGCAGTGTGGTTTGAAAGCTCCCGACCATGTCTCACCTGGTCGGTTCCCAGGCTTCAACGTTCAAAGAACGAAGGGCTGCGGGAACAGCGTGGACGAGTTTGTTGAGGTCGACCGACTGGCCAAGTGAACCGCAGCACTACGATGGCATGTCGGCTGTACTACAGCACTATCACCAGACATCGCAACTCTTTACAGTTCTAAAAGTAGTCACTTGCCATTATAAACGACCTGGTGCGTGGTTCGTAACCGTGGCAGTCGTAACTCGTGTTGATTCCACGCCTCCTTTCCAGTTGAAGGCAAGTCGGAAGGTTACGTTCCGTTACCACTCTCCATGATCACCACACACACGTCCGTGGCTTCTCTGCAAACAGAATTCTGCGACACTCTTGGAGGAAAAAAAGCTGCCGGAGCAGATGGTACCGTCGTCCATAGAAACCGAGGTTGACTGTCCGTAGTAGGTACGAGTTACAGTACCCTTGAAGGATTCGTCCTACTGGCCCTAAACATAACCCGGACGAGGAAGTCGGCTCCACTCGTCCTCTCTCTCAGTCAACAAATAGCTCGCCATCGCTCAAGTCCCGATCGACCGCTATTTACATCGTGAGGTTATTAGTTGTTGACACTCCCATACAAACACGCATAGTACAGCACACCTCGATCAATTTATCAGTGATGTTAAGTCAATACGAGCCTCTGGAAACACTTGCGCCCGCGCTTTTCGGGCACGTCCAGAAGTGGCGACACGTCCGTACCGGTGACTACGTGGCTGTCAAGCGCATGGAGTTGCGTTTCGCAGCACGGAAACGCTGCAAGGGCTTGGAACAGGTGGTCGAAGAGGATCTCGTTGCGGAAATCAAGACAAATTTGCTCATTCAGTCGCTCGGTGGCCACCCGAATGTGCTGCCACTGCGCGAGTGTATCATGGAGGACACGGCCGTGCTACTGATGCTCCCGTACTGCCACCAGGGCGAGCTCCTGGATGTGCTCAATACAAAAAGAGCTGCTGGGCTTTCGCTCCCAGTCCGTCACTATTTCCTGCAGACGTTACAAGGGGCAGCCTTTCTCCATGCCAATGGGATTGCCCACCGTGATTTGTCTCTAGAGAATGTATTGGTAGACGACCAAGAGTGCTGTTACATCATGGACTTTGGCTTGGCTGTTCAATGTCGAGGGAACCTGGTCGTGAAACCGGTGGGGAAACTGCGGTACATGGCGCCTGAACTCTGTGCGGCCTGTACGTATCAAGAAGATTCGTCTGTGGACGAGTATGATCCAATGGCAGCAGATGTGTGGGCTCTTGGGGTGATGCTGTACGCGATGGTAGCGGCTCGGTATCCCTTCCGTGAACCTTTGCGAAAAGACGATCGGTTTCGGTCGTTAGAAGACTTTGGAGTTGAGTATTTGCTGGAAAAAGACGAGGTGGATGTACGGGAGGAGAAGGACGTGGTGGAGCTTTTGAAGCTTCTGCTGGTTGCCGACCCGGCCAAGCGTCCGACACTTGCAGAGCTCTTGTCACACTTGGCACTGCCTACCGAAGACCATGACTTTGTGGCGACAGCAAAGCAGATGGAGCTACACGACGCTGCATCGTCACCCACGACTGTTACAAGCTGCCAAGAGACTCGACAGCCTACATGGTCGATTGGCCACTTTACGACGGGCAAGGGGTCGCTCGCGTCCGTGACACCATTGTCCGAGGTGGAAAAGCACAAGCAAGTTCTTGCTTGTTCGAGTATAAAAGCACCCGTTGGTAGTGTAGCTTCTACTCCTGTTGCTGGCAACGTCGGGGGTAAACTCCAGTGTTTGGGCGGCGGATTGTTGCGCAAGGTTTTTGCAGCAGCTCGCGCGTAATGTAATCAGTTAGTTATCTATCTATACGAGAGGGCTCTCGTTCACACAGAGCACTTTAGTCAACGTCTCTTAAATATTTACACATGTCCATCGATATTGTATGAAATGAACGCTAGTGAAGATGAGCGAAGTCCCCGCGACAAAAGATGGCTCACGAGCACGTCATTCTCACAAGAATGTCGTGTGTTTTTCTAAATATGACGATCATGACGAGCCTACAAGCTGCTTTTCAACCAGCCGGAAGGCTGCCCGTTGACTGAGAGCGGTCAATTTTTTTACGGGTTCATGCATTGAGCAAGTGACTTTAGTGATGCCGTTCCAATAACAACTGGCAATATCAGCCGGAGCTCACAGTAGTCACCTTTACAGCAATGAATCCACACCCCCCCCACCCCCCCCACCCCCCCCAACCAACCCCCCCCCCCCCCCCCCCCCCCCCCCCCCCCCCCCCCCCCCCCCCCCCCCCCCCCCCCCCCCCCCCCCCCCCCCCCCCCCCCCCCCCCCCCCCCCCCCCCCCCCCCCCCCCCCCCCCCCCCCCCCCCCCCCCCCCCCCCCCCCCCCCCCCCCCCCCCCCCCCCCCCCCCCCCCACCCCACCCCCCCCCCCCCCCCCCCCCCCCCCCCCCCCCCCCCCCCCCCCCCCCCCCCCCCCCCCCCCCCCCCCCCCCCCCCCCCCCCCCCCCCCCCCCCCCCCCCCCCCCCCCCCCCCCCCCCCCCCCCCCCCCCCCCCCCCCCCCCCCCCCCCCCCCCCCCCCCCCCCCCCCCCCCCCCCCCCCCCCCCCCCCCCCCCCCCCCCCCCCCCCCCCCCCCCCCCCCCCCCCCCCCCCCCCCCCCCCCCCCCCCCCCCCCCCCCCCCCCCCCCCCCCCCCCCCCCCCCCCCCCCCCCCCCCCCCCCCCCCCCCCCCCCCCCCCCCCCCCCCCCCCCCCCCCCCCCCCCCCCCCCCCCCCCCCCCCCCCCCCCCCCCCCCCCCCCCCCCCCCCCCCCCCCCCCCCCCCCCCCCCCCCCCCCCCCCCCCCCCCCCCCCCCCCCCCCCCCCTCAATCACCGCGATCATGGAGGTGAACTGCTGACCGCGATCGACAGCTCGGGACTCAACGGTTCTACATCTTTTTCTATCTTCTTTCTGTCGAAACGACATTTCATCGTTACGATTCCATATGGACAAAGGACACCATTAGGAACGGTCAGTACAAGCGCTTCGCAGCTGAACTCTAACCATCCGGTTTACCGCCGTAGGGACGAACTTGTCCTAAGTCATCAAAGGTAGACTGCACCTAGATGTCAGACATGTGTTGGCTCAAAATTAGACAAGAGGAATACAGAGGGTGCTTTAACGATGGCATTATAAGAAGGGAGTCATAGTTTGAGAGAGCTGGGCGATCTATTTATGTTTTTAAAAGAGTCTTCTTAATTAACATAAGCACTATTTTGGGTACTACTTTGAAACAGATTCGCAGGAGTGTTCTTGAAATGTATACTCTCGCACGGCGCTCCCTCCGGTAAGTGATGGATCCTGTGGACGAAGAGTTCTATATCCTGGCGAAGATCAAAGTTGTTACGTCCATGTGGTAAAGTATGTATACACAACAGAAATCAACCGGATCGACCATAAACCGGACCGTAACAAACGAAACGAACACTACCACTCCACCTGGCCAAAAATGCCAGGGGCAAGACAAAGAATCACCCCATAGTTACAATCTTCAGATTTCTGACAAGGAAATCTTGGAGACTTGACCTCCAGGATTCTGGCTGGCTTGTGTTATGTGTCCGTTGTCAAAACTCACATTTCTCCCGACTTGTAACATTAATTTGTCCCTAAATTGCCAATACCTCGTCGCATATGACGAATGGCGGGGAGCTTGCTTTTGTCAAGTTTCGGCCACCTCTACCATGTGCAGCGTAGAAGATCTAGATGATGCATGCCCACAACATTGCAGCATTTTAACGGCGCCACTACGGTTTCCGTCTACAGAATGTGATCAATTGTAATAGGGGGGAAACATGAAGAAGTCGATTCCATCTATGAGTCCACCAGCCTCCTGCCATGCGTCAATTCATAGCTGACTGGACCGAGATGTCGACCAACCACCGCTACCTATTGCTTGATCAGAAGATGATATTTGCCGATCCTCCTGTCTATCTATCTGGTTAAAAATGGAAAGGAGCTAGGATCGTTCAAAGCATGTTGAGAGACAGTTAGTGAGCTAGAGCTTAGCTGGAAGCTGAGCTCATCAGCTGTGTGTTCGGAACCACGTCAATTTGGACATAGCTACAACGAAGAGGATATGAGCCATCTGCTGACCTGACCGACGACAGTATGCCGGAAGAGGTTCAAAAGACGGAGGGGGAAGAAAAAAGGTGGACCAAGTGAAATTGTAGCACCCGTTGCGCGAGGTTTTTCAGGAACGGTAGATAAAGGATGATGCCTGCGCGCTCCACGAAGCAGTCCAGGAAAAGTGCTGGGATACGTATACATTCGACGAGACCTGCGTTATTCGATGCTCGTGTCCGACCGGCTCAAGGTCGGTCGGACACAGCGCTGATTACATTCTCTCTATGTTAGGAGATGTCGTTACTTTGAACTAACGATGCTGCTTACTTAGCAAATACTCCGTTACGCAATGCTCACGAAGGCGGCACTGACGGCTGGCCACAGGTCGTCGCACTTATCGTGGTTGTTCTCGTGCACGTTTTCCAAAGCTTGTTGCAGCGTTTTAATCCAGTGCTCGAGAGACGGAACAAGGCTTGCTGCTTGAGCCCTCGTCGATTTGGTAGCCTTCACTCTAGCACTCTCAAGTAAATGCACGAGCTGACCAGCATGATAGAATGCAGGACGTTCAAATGACTCCATGTCTCGTAGTGTATCGCACAGGGTGTCCACGTAAGCGTCGATAAAGTCGGCGGTGGGGCCATTCTGCAACCAATGTGTCCGCTCAAGAGCGAACGCTACACACTCTGCTGACAGTAGCGACACGAGGGTAAACAAATTACGCCAGCGGCTGAAAAGTTCCTGATGATGGGAGACTTGACTTGCTTTGGTGTTTTTGCCTCGTCGACGCTTCTTTCCGTGAGTCGCCTGCTCCGTCGACTCCACCGCCTTGCGCAGACCAAGCATGAGCTGAGCCAACCAGGCGAACAACGCGCTGAGCGACTTTGGCGGTGCGAAAAACTCTGACGGTTGTAAGTCGCAAATCCCATCTAGCTTTTTCACTCGTCTCAAAGAATTTTCCGTCAATAACGATGTTTCATCATTTACGTGCGCGCACTCCGCCATCACCAAGACTTTTGCGTATACTTCCAATAATCGGACAAAGACGAACGGGTTTGCTTTATATGCTGCTTCAACTTCGTCGACATCGAACTCGACAATGGGCTCGACGCATTTCTCGAGCGCCTCCACTAGCGGCTGTATAAATGTAATGAGGCTTTTCGCAGTTGACAAGTGAACGATGTACTCAATTGCGCCGAGCACAACGACTGGATTCAGCGCATTTTCCGACTTTTTAGTCTGCTTTCTTTTCGAGCTGCCCGTACCAGATTGAAACTTGGTGATTCTCCATTCGTCAAGAAACGTTGCCAGCTTCGACGTCAAGAACGGTAGCTGCTCCCATTGGACCATGCAGTCAACCATCGACTCCAACAGCTTTTTGTTCGAGCTCTCGTTCATCTGCATGAAGTTTACCACCAAACGCTCCAGTAAGGCGCCCCCAGACAATTCAACCAAATAGCCAATTATTTTCCAAATGGAACTAAGAGCTTCTTGCTCGTAAGGACGGTCTTCGCTGTAAGCAAGAAGGAGCGCTTCAAGTGACTCAATGGTCAAATGCGCGTATAGGAAGCTCTTGCACTCAGAGTATCGATCGTCGCCCATTACTTTCACGTGCACACTCTTGATAAGGCTGCTGATTACCTCCAGCACGACAACTTGGCCAACGATACTAAAGCCTTCCTCCTCCTCCTCATCTTCCTCATCGTCTTCTCCCACAGATCCTTGGGGCGCCTTCAAACGCTGCGACACAAAGTTCAACGAGCAACGAAGCAGCACGGCAACCAACTTGCAGACGGATCCAACGGACACATGCTCAACAACGTTCGCGTAGAAGACCATCGCGGCCTCTGGGTTCTTTCTCACCAGGGCGAGACATCGCGCCGCTTGCGAGGATCCACCCACGCTTTGCGGAAAATACGAATTCAAAAACAGAGATACAAGTTGTTTGCACGCAAGAGGCCGATCACGGTCCATGACCATGCGACAAAGCAAGTCGTTTACTGGAACAACGTCATAAAAGTGCAAGTCTCGAATGCTCTTGATTCGGACCAACAGTGCACCAAACTCAGCACGAACTTTCTCATTGCGATCATTGATCAGCGGTGCTAGCTGGATGTAAGCAACAATGCATTAGTGTAGCTACAGCTATCCAGCTCAGAAACAAACAAGCTTACCATAGGCAGCAGCGGCTTCAAAATGGAGTGAGAGTTATGATTTTCCAAAATGAATCGAACACCTTCGAATACAGCTGCACGAACAGTGCTCGAAGACACATCGTTCACAAGGTCCACGACAAGCTTCGAGATGAAGCCCCGGATCGTCTCAGCCGGAAGTAGCTCCCAGTACACAGAAAGAACCTTCGACACGCCTTCAATTGCTGCAACTCGTAGTGCTGGATGCGAATCCCCAAGCAGCTCGTTGAATGTATCGAACTGTTTCTGGAGAGTCACGTCCATCGTCTCATTGTTAAACGCTGGATCACGAAAGGGGAAGTTGTCGAAGAGCAAAATAGCCGCTTGGCGTCGAACGGAATCGTTCGGGGCTTTCACACCACGCCACAGAATAGGGCTACAAACACGGTAGAGCATTTCATCAACACCTTGGTGTCGCTTGTTGTCAAAGAAAATCTGCAGCACTGTGCGCACAGCATTAAACAGCGACGTGCTGCTTGCATGGACCGCATCTCGCACATATCGCTGGATACACTCTTCCTCAATTTTCGCTCGAAAAGCCCCCTTGCTTCCCACCCACGCCTATGGACATCAGTAGCAACACCAGAGCATAGCCCAGGTCAATCTTTCAACACAATCTCCATCCTTACTAGTAACCGCCACCCAAGACCCCCGTACTACAACAACCCTACCTGAAAGTAGATATTGCCATATTTCACCACAACCGAGTGGCGTTGATTCGGGAGCTGGTTCCGGATCGTCTCATTGATATCGTTGACAAACGGCACGTGCAGCGTGAACAAAAAGCTCAAGAGCGACACGGCATCTGGCGATCGAAAGAACGCTGGCTGGATGAAACAGCGCAGCAGAATATTGCGACACGTGCTACAGCTCTCGTCCTCAAAGTCCAGTAACGGCAGCGCGTCTTTGACTGCAAACAGCCGCCGGATCGGATGCGTCTTGGCCGAGAAGCGCCCTGACCCAGACGAGCCATGGCTCTGGAAAATCAAGTACGGCACCATCTGCGTCACGAGCAAGTACGCGCGGCCACAAAAGTTGCGCTTCCAACACGCTTCACAGAGCCGCGAAATGGCTTCCTGAGTCGCCAGGACTTGAGCCTCGTCACCTGTGAGATACATCAGCTGTTCGTGCAGCTCCTGGACAACAGCAAAGACCTCGTCCTTGTCCATACTCTCGCTCTCGCTCTCGACCAGCAGCAACGTGAACTCGGCCACGGCCTCTCGAGCTTGCAGTCGGCGCGCTTCTTCCTCCTTGTCGTCGCTCGGGGCCACGAGCTCGACAGCCGCAGGGTAAAACGCATTCAGCTGGTCGCGACTTAGCGTGCACACGTCATCTTCACCATCAAGTACGACGTTGGTCTCGTCCGCGTTTTCGCTCGTGTCCTGCGTATCGTCAGCGATAGCTTCGTCCTCGCCCTGCTTGCGGTTTTTGCGGTTCTTGCTCTTGTGACGTGGTGGTTTACGACGGTGCTGGGTGTTGCGCTGCGCCATCGCTTGTGTGAGAGGACGCGCGTCTCCGCGCTGGAGCGCGGTGATTGCGGCCGCGAGGGACGTCGCCATGTTCAATGCGGAATGCAGAATGCGGAAAGTGCGCAACAGAGTGAGTGTATGTCATTCGAGCGAGGGAAACCGCAAGTCGTCACGTTCGCTCGCGCGAGTGACTCGCTCGATCCTGCGCAGTGGTCCACCACATAAAACGCACACACACCAAAAGTTGAGTCCCCCGACTGATTGCTTGGACGCGCGCTCGAGTGGCTTTATCTGCTGACGAATCATCCGATTGACCGATTGACTGACAATGGAGACGGCCGACCTCGTGGTGGACGGCACGCGCACGTCGGGCAAAGACATTCGCGAGCAGAACGTGACGGCCGCTGTCGCCATTGCCAACATTGTCAAGAGCTCGCTGGGACCCGTTGGCCTGGACAAGATGCTCGTGGACGACATTGGTGACGTGACGATCACGAACGACGGCGCGACGATCCTCAAGCAGCTCGAGGTGGAGCAGCCAGCGGGCAAGGTCTTGGTGGAGCTCGCGGGTCTCCAGGACCAGGAGGTGGGCGACGGCACCACGTCCGTCGTGATCATTGCGGCCGAGCTGCTGAAGGTGCGGTGTGCCTTGCACTCTGTTTATATATATGTAGAGAGAGGAGGAGGGTCTTGTCTGATCGTGCTGACCCGTACTGCTGCGGTGCGTTCTCTTGTGTTTTGTATGGCAGCGAGCCAATGAGCTGGTGAAGAACAAGATCCACCCGACGTCGATCATTGCGGGGTACCGTCTGGCGATGCGTGAAGCTGTCAAGTACATTAAAGAGAACCTGAGCGTGCCGGTGGATTCAATTGGACGGGAGAGTCTCGTGAATGCTGCAAAGACGTGCATGTCGTCGAAGATCCTCGGTCCCGAGAGCGAGTTCTTTGCGAATCTCGTGGTCGACGCCGTGTCGTCGATCAAGGTGGAACAGGAAGGGGCTAAAGGCAAAGTGAAGGCAAAGTACCCCGTGAGTTCCATTAATGTGCTGAAATCTCATGGAAAGAGCGCGCTGGAGACACAGTTAGTGGACGGCTTTGCTCTCAATTGCACCAAAGCATCACAGCAGATGCCGACGTACATTAAGAATGCCAAGATTGCGCTGCTGGACTTTGACTTGCAGCGTCATCGGATGCAGATGGGGGTGCAAGTGATCGTGAACGACCCGAATGAGCTGGAGAAAATCCGTCAACGCGAGGTGGACATTACCAAGGAGAAGATTCACAAAATGATCGATGCTGGTGCCAACGTGATTCTGACCACGAAAGGCATTGATGATCTGTGCCTCAAGTACTTTGTCGAGTCAGGTTGCATGGGTGTGCGTCGCTGCAAGAAAGAAGACTTGCAGCGTATTGCTAAGGCTACTGGCGGACAGGTTGTCCTTACGCTTGCCGACATGGAGGGCGAGGAAACGTTCGACCCCTTGACGCTCGGCGAAGCGCAAGAAGTTTGCGAGGAGCGCGTCGGCGATGGCGAGTTGATCTACTTCAAGGGCTGCAAAACGCGTCAGGCGACGACGGTGGTGTTGCGTGGTGCCAACGAGAACATGCTTGACGAGATGGATCGCTCCATGCACGATGCGTTTATGGTAGTGAAGCGTATGCTCGAGAGCAATCAGCTTGTTGCTGGTGGTGGCGCTGTTGAAGCAGCGCTATCGATCTACCTCGAAAACTTTGCCACGACGCTGGGATCGCGAGAGCAGCTGGCCATTGCTGAGTTTGCCGACGCGCTGTTGGTCATTCCGAAGACCCTGGCAGTCAATGCTGCCAAGGACGCCTCGGAATTGGTGGCGCGTCTGCGTGCGCACCACAACACATCGCAGAGCGACGATTCGAAGTCTGAACTTCGTTTTTCGGGCTTGGATCTGCTGGAGGGCAGCGTTCGCAACAATCTGGAAGCTGGTGTCGTGGAGCCTGCTATCAGCAAGATCAAGAGCCTGCGTTTCGCTACTGAGGCTGCTATCACCATTTTGCGGATCGACGATCTGATCAAGCTCAACCCCAAGGAAGAGCCCCAGCAGTAGGCTCCGGGTTTCCATTGACAACGGGCAGATAGCGTCGTCTATAATAGCACTCCTTTCCCACCTTCTTACCATCATCAGCCCACTTGTTTCCTCTTCGCCTGCAGTTTATAAGGACCAAGAAGGCGCCTATGATAAAATCGCTCTGTGATAACGTGCATACAATACGAGTATCATGAGCTAAAGCGGAGGTGATGTCCATGCATATAGATTGCGAGATGCTTTGCAACGTCGTGAGCTACTTATCCTACAGCGCAGAATCTAGTGAACTCCTTTATCATCTACTTAATCAACGCCTTACTTAAGCCCTAAAGCAGTACTGTTGGAGGCGGCATGAATTCGATGCCAAAAAAAAGGTGCTGAAGGCTCCACAGCGTTTCTAGTAGTTAGACGGCTCCATGTCATTTACGATCTGGAATATTCGTGAACACAATGCTGACACTACTACATATACGCAGAGAGTAATGCTCGGGTATGAAAGCTGCTGGTTCAGGCTATGGAGAATACAACAAAACAATGGTCTCTACCGATCGTGACCCACCTCATGTCGATATAAATGCTTCCACCGAGTCCATATTGATGACAACTTTGCAGCTGAACAATGCCATCAGGAGATAGCACCAAAGGCAAGCAATACACGAAGTCTCTCGACCCAAAACTCTAGAGATGTGTGGTCACACATACTTCTTTTTCCCAATGCTACGGGATAAAAACCCTGAAGGACCACGATGAACATCGCTGTAGGACGGGAGTATCGTGCACAACGACGAGTTCGCCGACTGCCTCTCGGAGGCTGAAGGAGGCAAGGGCACTTCTAGCGGATAGCCTTCTAGGCTCTCCTCCGTCCAATCCATCGAAACTCAAACACAAGAACATACATGCTCACAAGTTATTTTACACACTCACGGCTATTTCTACAATAGTCGAGACTCGTGGATAATCCAGTAATGTCGACTGATCCGATGGTCATCACGAGCTGTAGCGAGCTACTAATAAAGTGGGCCTCAATTGCTGAGGTTTAACCTTCTATTCGGGTCATTTGTGTGGACTACATCACGACGCAAACGCTCCACGCTTGCACGTAACCCAAGGGCAGTCCATGTTGCTACGGGACTGCCACATAGTGAGTTCAAGTCATCGCACCTTATCAACTTCATTTACGCCATAAAGCCCATGCCTCGCCTTCTGTTACTCCCGTCATTATTGCTGGTTCTGCTAGCGTCCTGTGTATCTCCGCTGGTCATCGAGAGGTACGACCAGGTGAACGATCAGTTAGGTCGTGTACATTTGGTGGGGTACTCACGGCCTCATGGGGTTATGCCATGGTTACGATTACTTATTTTGCTGCTTTTGTGTTCATACAAAAAAAATGACAGTCCCGTCTGTCGACTGCTGACACATGTGTACGTTTACTGCTGTCCGCTCTTTTTTTGTCCAGTATCTAAATTAAATTCAATAAATTGTCATCTGATTCCAGGTCAAGCGAGTTTACGAACCTCACGGTACTGGAATCCGGTGGACTTCAGGACTACCCAATTGTGCCAGGTTGTTATCCTTTCTTGACTGAAGCGTGCTTCGTAATGCTCGGACCTGACATCGCTCTCTGCGATTGTTTGTGTTTTCTCCTCGTAGTGTGGCCGTTCACAGCTTGTGAGCCTCTACGTGGTCAGAACTTGACGGGAAAAGTGGCGCTTGTGCTTCGTGGGGACTGTAATTTTGTGCAGAAAGTGTGGCATGCTCAACGCGCGTTAGCAGCTGCTGTGGTGGTGATGGACAATGAGCTTCGACACGAGTAGGAACAATATGCAGTGAACCGGGTTAAGACTGCTTTTGTGTTCCGATGAGGTTGACACTGTCATTACTGTTTGATGCGGCTGCGGCTGCTTTAGACCACCGTACCACATTATCATGATGAAGGACGACATGGCCAGCAGACTTCGCGTCCCATCAGTGTTCGTTCCGTACACATCCGGCGAGTGGCTGCTGGATGCTATAAGTCGCGCGGTTCCGTGGGATCCACTACGAGTGACAGTTAGTGTCAGTGGAGAATGTAAGCTGACGAAATGTAGGCCACGATACGAGAAAATGGCGACGGAACTGTGTTGATGGGTAGTGTGTTGTGATTGTGGTGGATGTAGTGCCGCGACCGTCGACGCCGAACCGCTGGTTGAAGCGCGTGATTGCCTACATTTTTCTCATCTCCTTTGTCTGTGCGCTCTCGAGCGGACTGGGCTTGCTTTCGTCCGCCATATTCCAGTGGGTTGGAAAGACTCGGCGATCTCGTGTCGCGAAGCAGCTGCCGATTGCTAAGTATGAGCGCAACATGCAACGCACTCTGCTCGCACATCTGTTAAAAAGCCAATTTGTGGTAGATCGTCTTCCATTTACTGCGATCGAAAACGTTGCCCATTTTGGTTGTGATAACCATCCGCATGCGGACAGCGACTCTGTTGTGGTCACTACCGATGCAAGTGCGAGCACGAACAAGATGACGCAGACAGTTGCAAGTGGTGACAATTGTTTCATCGAGGAGGAAGGAAAACACGTGCAGCAAGAAAAGAGGTTGATCATGGACGAAATGACCTACCAGAGCTCCAGCGGCTCGGACACCGAAACTTGCTCAATATGTTTGGATGATTTCGAGGATGGGGCGGACGTGAAAGTCCTCCCTTGTCAGCATTTTTTTCATGTGGACTGTATTAACCCGTGGCTTGAAGGCCAGAGCGGACGCTGCCCCCTTTGCAAGCAAGACGCGATTGCCACTGGTATGTCTGACGGATGAACGCAACGCAAAACAGACGATGACTAATTTAGTGTGTGTGCGTTGCTTCAGTTTCTGGTGAGGCCAAGAAAGTTTTTGGCTTCGCGCTGCCTAGGATTGACCAAATCCTTCAACAAGAACATGTACGCAATCCCGGTCGTTGCAATGGCTCGAAGTGATCGATTACTGAACTGTTGCTTGCTGTGTGTAGTGGGTTCACACGTTCTTCCTCATGTTGCCTGCAAGCTTCATCAGTTGCCTTCTTGTCAATGTTGCCGCATCTATCATTGGCACTGTGTGGCCATGAGAGACTTCTTCTTGACGCGGCCGCTTCTGCAAGGAAGCAGGGGTATTTATCCCGAAATACTACAGTGGCTCTACAGTGTTTCACTTGGTATGTAAATGGACTTGATTCATAATTTTGTGGTACTGTAGAGAAGAATCTCTCAAGGATGCAGCGCAAGTGAAGGTGACCAGTGGAACACGTCCCTCTCACCCCTCAGCATAGCAGCTATCACTTCCGTCCAAAGATGAAGAGTTGCTGTCAAGAGGTAGCGAAGGCAGTATGGCGCACGCATACACGGAAAACGGAATGTACGTGAAGCAATTCGATTACAGCAATAACTTGTGATGGTTTCGCTGCCAGCACGAAACCTTTTCCGCGCAACTAAGCTGTCACATTTCTTCACTGTGTTGTCATCATTTTCCCGAAGGAAACAGCCCCGCTGAGACGAAGCATGATGCGAAGCCCAGACAATCCTTGTTGCGCGCAAGATGTCCCAAATCTGCCACCGTTCTTCAGCGTAGAAACCTCGAGCCGATTACGCTGCGTAGTGTGCTTTCTTGATGCAATGTCACTGCAGTTTGGTTGCGACCACAGATCGATGTGAAGTTTCGTCACTATATCAGCGACCAAAGCTCCACTGTTGTTCCAACCATGCTATGAGATCGATTTCAGAGACTTTCTTGCGATCTAAATGTCACAGTTGTCCCGGTGTCTCAAACTGCCCATCTAATTGTTGTCATCGTAGACAGTAAGGAAACAACAAAGTACCGGATGTAGATGTAAGACATCGCACATTTTTATTGTACATCGCAGTCTTCTTATCAGGACCTGCTCATGAGGTTTACATCTCCACCGCAAATTGATGTGATCCATCAAGACTTACACCCACCCAGCTGGAGCAAATCGTACACGGTATCATCTTCCATACAAAAAAGTTACACTTCGTAGGCATGGATTCCGCTGGGGACATCGTCGTCATCGAAAGACTCAAGCGAGTGCATCGGCATCGTAATGAACAACTGCTTCATTTTGCGCTGGAAGCGTCGAGCATAAGGCTTTGGTGGGATCGCCGAAACACCGTCCCGCGACTTGCGCAGCACACGCACCTTGTAAGCATGCTCAATCTGCTTGGCAACTGTCCACTCCTGCAAAATGTCTACGAGGCCGAAATAGTACTTGCTCGGTCCCGCTACTTGGTGTGCGCGGTAGGCATGAGTCTTACGGTACACTGCACGTTCGCCTGAATACGGGCCTTGCGACGTATCGGAGAGACGAGATCCTGTGGATTCGTCTGCAGATTCGGACAGTCTAGTGCCCTCCTGGACGACATCGTCTTCATTCGCGGAACGAGTATTGTCGTGGACGTCAACAAGCACATTTGCACCAGGTTTTTGATCACGACAGTGTGCACTGAGCTCCACTGACTTTCGACGCGAAAGTCCTCGCTCGTATTCCGTCGAGATAGTAAATTGTGAGTAATGCGTGCCGATTAAAAGACTGTAGTCCATGATACCGGCGCTGGCGAGATAGTTGCTGTCACGAGTGAGTTGCTTCATAAGCTTTACTGCTATGTCTGGTTCCAGCTTCAGCCTTTTCTTCAGATCGTTGTCCCGGAGCGTTATGTCGGGATAGTGCTCTTCACCAGGCAAAAAACAGGGGTCTCCCAGTGCACCTCCAAATGTAAAGAACCGGTTGCACTTCGAGCAGCGATATTTCTCACCCAAAACACAAGCAGGGGCATTGCGATCTACCCAGGACCCCTTGACGTCATATCTGCGGTGGATCACTTCATTTGTGCTCAAAAAGTTTCCCATCACGATGAAATGGAAAATTTGACCATACATCTTCATGGCGTGGAAACCGAAAAAGCGAGGCAGGAGCGTTTCTGGATTCCACTTGAGATAGCGCAAGTAAGTAGGCAGCAGTCTCAGCAGCACCTCCTTTTCTTTGGAGGTAGTGCTCTTAACCAAATACTGACGATCGCATGTGTTGAAAACAAACGCGCCACTTCGACCTTCACTGATCCGTTCATTGATCGTAGTGCGAAACGCAAAGATGTACTCTACATCATTGACACCATACAGTTGGCGGATAGATGCAAACACACGCGGCTGAAAATCGTAGAATTGCATTTCCGTCAAAGTCATGGGAATGAATGTGAAGCCCATGTGGCGCGGATTGTCGCAAGGTTCCTCCACAACCCGTACGTTTGAATTTCTCATTTCTCGCAACATTGGCATTGATCGCGGAGGAACGGTCATCGAGCCCACACTTCTGCTGAATGACAAGGACGATATCAGCTGTCTCATGCTTCGTTGAGGTGACCGTTGCCAGTCCAGTTGGAAGGTGTGATTGTTTCCGTTTGCTCGTCGCATCCGGTGATAGTGCTGAACTGACTCAATGATGCCGTTTGTTGCCATCTGAATCATCTGCCTCCGCAATGCCACGTTCAGCTGCGGGTTCATGAATCCATCATGCGAATCATCGCGCTTAAGGTCGCTTGCTTCAGTGCAAACTGAACTATTATCACCACATGTCGAAAACGACTCTCCCATCATTGATCCGTCCTTGTGAGGTGACGGCAGTGTCGAATCTACTGGTTCCTCGGAATAAAAAGAAGGAAAAAAGGGCGCATTGACCACAATCCAGACAATAATGTTGACACACCCACGCGAAGCATGCAGAAACGCGCTCAAGTCGATCAGTTCTTGAAACAAGATTGTTCCCAGCACGGACTTTACTTGCGCGGTATTAGTCATTGTAAAGAGACAGATCGTCAGAAAAGACCATGAAATGAATACCGCGCACGTGAGCATGCCATTAGAGAGCACACGACGTCGCACTTCGAATGTCTCTTCCAGGCCGCGACGTAACCGGATGCGAACGTATACCATGCACGCGAGACCAAAGAGCAAATATACCACGACGCACACATGATACAGAATCCACTGATGCCAGAAAAATCCTGGCATGTCCGTATTGTGGTGAAACCAGATAAACCGCTGTTCATTGTCGCTGGTGGTTTTCGCGCAGTCCGGGTTCATATTGTCCATCACGAGGCAGTCCACCTCAGGATCACCGAGCGACCATAGCACAAGTCCAGACACAACACCACTGAGCACCGAGTAGAACCAGTACGCCCTGAAATTGTGCGTGTACGACGTGAACGGGTTTGTAATCGACTGCACCATATCGATCGGAATTGCAAAGAACCAGAACTCGCCTGCAATCAACAGCGCTTGGGTGATGGCAGCGATACGAAACGGCAGTTCGACCGAGTCCGAGAATTCCGTCACGCAGTATTCTGCCATGTAGATCACGGCCAGCAGTAGATCCACCAAGCTTTTACTGAAGATCAGCGGATTCGGGTGGGCCCTCACGACAGGACTCATGACGAACGCCACGATAATCACCAGAGTGAACGCCCCCGAGGCAATAGCTCCTAGTAGCAAGTACTCGTCGGCACTGTAGCTCCCCACCAAAGCGATCGTCGAGCACGCGACACCAACGAGCACCAACAGTCCAGCAATTGCGACCACAAGACCAGAGCATGGTCCAGTTACGAGCGCTCGGAAGCAGCTGCACAGCCTCAACAAAGTGGATCCACGACGAGCACGTCGTCGACTTGCACGATGCTGTCGATGCTCGAGCTTGGCAAACTGATCACTGGAAGAGCATCCGAGCACAACGATACAAAGCACCACAACGAGTCCATTGAGAGTATTGACATGTTAGTAAAGCAGAGAGTGAGAGATTACGATAGGAGACGGCGACGAGGAGGGGTACACTAGGGGGTACAGTTATCGTACCGGTGTCGGCCACGCAGCAGCGCGTCGCTCTCGGAGGCCGGTGGCATGCGCCCCGTACGGATCAATGGACGCTGCGCTTAGGCACCACGGGCGGGTGATGGTGACGTCAGGTCGGCCACGGCTCTGTTACTGGATGGAGAGTCGGATATCCGGATGGCTGGACGGATATCCGGATGAATGTCGCGCGAGGAGTCGGCTTTACTGGCCCGAGCTGATCGAAGGGGTACGTTTGTTTGGTGTGTACCACGTTTGGTGGTACGATGTGGAGACTTACTTGCGTGTGTGTTTTGTAGACGCGAAAGAAAGGGAAACAGTAAAAAGTTGTAGTTATTGGCATAGTGTACGAGGATTTGTGTAAAGTCGCGTCTCGGTGGTGGTGGTGGTGTCAATGTCTTGTGATCGTTTTTTCCAAGTCGTATGGATGAGTAAAAGTGTTTTGCATGTCAGTATTGCCTTGTTCGTACGACGCCATCGGTTGTCTCGGAGCGACCTCTGTGATGCTGCCTTGCCTCGATCGTTCTTCTGCTGATTATCAGTAAGGACAATGGGGTATAGATAGTCTTTCGTACACCGTCGCACGGTTGAGATCTACAGCCGGCTATGATGGGAAAATAGTACAAGTAATAATTTTGCCCTCTCGGGCTCGCAACGTACTCATACATTTATATGCTGCAGCGTTGGGAGCGGCATCCGTTGTCGATTGCGACTTCTTTGCGACGGTATGACGATGCTGGCAAGCGTAGTTCATCTGTGTGCGCAGTCGTTTCAGTTGATGTTTGGACCTTCGGACGTGCAATTTTGCGGTACCTCTCATAATTTTTTTAACTAGGCCATTTAGTATTCTTTTCAACCATCTCCAGAAAGCATCTTTCATGATCTTATAGATGCCAAAGCATCAGAAATGTACCGTGACCCCTTTCTTGCTTCTTGCGTAAAGAGCATGATGTGGATTCAAAGCACAAATCTCGCACTAACGACGTGAGGCCGTTGGAAGTATATGTTGGTACGAAAGGGTACAACGCAGTAGGAGTTAAACTTTGAATTGAAAACGTGCAACGCAGAAGGAGTTAGAAGTTAAAACGAAAACGTGCAACACAGAAGAAATTAGATTTTGAAAGAAAAACGTGCAACGCAGTAGTAGTTTAGTGAAGGACAATTAGATTCTGCACTCGATCTACTACTCATCGCTCTGTACTTTTCCTAGAATGCACACTGCGCTGTCTAGATCTCTCTGCAACACTCATTGTAAAAATGGCTTGCTGACTATCCTGTTGACTCAAACGCCTGGAGCAGATGAAAACTGCAAGTCAGAATGTCAGACCTACCAAACAGTACGCCACGCGAATTCCTAAAATTCTCCTCGCGTGCGCCTGCTCTCTCTCTCCTATTCTGACACACTGCTTAAGATGCACTGGCTCCTCCGCTCTTCACCTACTTGCAATCGCCACGCGCCGATGAGCCCGTCGAGTACGCCTCGACTCGCTTTTGCTTTCGCTCTTCTCCATTCCGGCGCGATCTCTCGCCCGACCTCCGCTGGATTTCTCCTGCACGCCAATCTACACCGAACGCATCAGATTGCGCAGCGACGCCAGCTTGGGAGCGTCGACAGCCTTTTTCATTAAGTCGGCGAGCATCAGCTTAGATCGAACATGCTGCGCCGTCACAACACCGCATCGAGCGAGATCGCGCAGCTACTTGTACCGCACGTAAATATGCTTGATCTGATCGATGAGGCTTCTCCTTTGATCTGGCTGATGGCTGCCGAGATGTCCACATGCATCTGCATAGAGACAACCGCCACCATGCCCACCTTTCCGAGCATCTACCGCAAGCCGATGAGCTCGTGCGCTACTTCCGACGCTGCGACGAACTATGCCTCCATCGTTGAAATGATCACGCCACCCTGTTTCTTCGCGGTCCACGACACGACCATGCCATTTGAGAAGCACAACGCGTCCCATCAGCCAATTTTAGTCCGCCCCGTCGACCACGAAGTCTGGCGCCGCTGTAAGCTTCGGGATGCAGCACGTCGCCACTCGTATGCTCCAGTGCCATCTCGAACTTCAGCGCTGAAGTGCCCTTGAGTTACACGCGATACGCTTGGCGAGCTTCCAGACAAGTACCCGCGGCGCATGTGTCTGCTTGATAACTTGTGCCCCGAAAAGGCAATGTCCGGACCCGAGAACCTCGGGACCCGCAGCAGACTTCCGACGAGAGACTAGTACGCGTTGATCGTCGCACCACCGCCTGCGCTCGTAGTCTATAGAAGCGCGGCATCGTTGCCTACTACATCGTAGCAGTCGTCTCCGATCGGCGTCTTGGTCGGGATTGATTTACACATCCCATGCGCGCGCAAGAGCTCCTTGATCACCTCTTCTGATCGATGCTCCACGTGCCGTCGCTCCCGAGATCAACCCGCAACCCAAAGAACTTGTGGACGTAGCCGGTTCCTTGATTTACAGCGACGCCACGTCATGTAGAAGCTCTCTACCGCCGCGACACTCGTTCTCTTCGCTAAAAGATCGTGACGTAGCGTCGACAACAAATAGCCGTTCGCCATCGCGCTTTTGGTACAAAAAATTTACTTTCAGCATTTCATTAATCCGTCGTCACTGGCCGAGCATGGAGCAGCTAAATCCAGGGGCGTCCTACCTGCTTACGCCTATACAGTCTCCATTGCAGCTATAGGATAACCTCGCCTTCATGCGCCGCGCCAATCTCGTGCCGCATGCTGCTGGACACCGTCATTGTAACAGGGCACCCTGAAGCTTGTACTGGTGACAATACAAGCTACTTATTCTGATAACAGAATAAGGCGGTGCCTCGGAACTTCACGTACACTCGTACGTGAAGAGGAAGACGGTAAGAAGAAGCGAGTACTTGGTTCAAGTAAAAAGTAGAACTGTATTTATAATAGTTAATGTCTGCAATAAATCACTTTTGTCTTCATCTAACTATGTCTAAATACAAATGTGTAAATCAACTATCTGCTCACCACTCATTGCGTGCGTCTGTCGTGGCGCGTCTTCGTTGGTTGATATAATGGCCTATATCAACCAATTAGGAACTACTCGTAAGTGCTACAGAATATTTGTCCTTATGACAATATTCTGAGAATATAACTCTTATAGTTATATTCTATTAACAATTTCTTATAAATTGTTATGTAACGATTCACCCCGTTACATCACCCCCCCTTAACCATCAGTCACTTTAGTGACTGATTGACTAAATGGATACTCGTCCCAAATCATTTGGGACAGGGTTTGCACTTGTTGGTCCGAGTCCACTTTCCAACATTTCATCGCATGGTTAACAAGCCCATGCGATGCGCGAGCAAGGCCGCCGAGAGCGCGTCCGCACGTCTCTGTGCGGACGCCGAAGCAGAAACCACAGCAACTGATGTCTCATCGGTTGCTGAAGCGACTCAGCCTGTGTCACTTGGTGATGCAGGCGCTGGTCATGAAGACACTCATGTCTTCACAGAGTATGAGCTCGGTGTCTCATACTCTCCTGATACGGAAGACGGATCCGTATCGACGGCGATTGAATCCAAGCCGCCTGCCAAGCGTGGCATGGATGATGCTATGCGTCGTAGCATCTTTGGTTCATCTGATGAATCAGATGAACCATCGCCGAAGCGAAGGCGCTCGAGGTCGCGAGACTCGGGCGCTAACAGTGGTGTCGGTTCTCCTATGGACACCACTTCGCAACGAGGTGCCAGTACTTCTGTCGGCACGTCGCAGGAAGAGCGGGACCGCAATGTCTTGCGTCTCGCTCCTGAGAAGAAGGCATGGATGCCTCCAAAATCCGTCATGGATCACTTGTCGGCGACGACGAGTGATCGTTATCGAACACGGTTGTTCGATTCGTCAAGGATCCATCACCTTGACCCCAGCGCGAAAAACTATCGCGCTGAGAATGAATTCTTCATCGATGCTTTCTTTAGACATCGATGGTACAGTGGGAATCACAAACGTGATGGTCCCTCACTGCTTCAAGCGTGGAACGCCTACATCCATAACCTTGAGGATGTAGGTCGTGACGTTTGGAACGACAAACTTATCAAAGCTCGTGATAAGTTTGAAAAGCGAACCCCGACAGGTGCACGCTACAAGCTGCATCGTCTGTCAAGGGAGAAGGGATTACCCTGCCTCTCTTGGGGAGACTCGTGCCCGTGTTGTGTGAACAACTCTGCACGAGCACCTAAGGAGGCTTACCTCCCTAATAGCCCGTGGTGGCGCGTACGTATCTCTACTGAGATGTACGAAGGGATTGACAACCTGAAATCCCTTTACGACCGTGCCGGGAAGACTTTCTCCGGCGGTCCTTCTGCGGCACAGGATGTGCCGCGTCGTACTGCTCAACCAGACCCAGTACGTCGATCATCAGTTGGGAGCGGGGCTCCCAAGAATCCCAGGACGGGGGATAGCCGCGCCACCGGACGAGATAACTCGTCCGACGTCCGTTCACGTCGCGGTGGTTCAACAGCTGCTCAACTAGATAGCGCTGGCCACCGCGAGAGTCCTCTAATGGAGGTGGAGGAGGAGGAAAGACGCTCTCCACACGATCATGGGGATCCGTGTGTTCCCGAGAGCTTCTTTGATCGCGTAACGCAAGGGTTACGCGACGATCTCGAACATGAGCGGAATAGGCGTCTCCAAATGGCGGACACTGCCTTGAAGCATCGAGCTGAGTTTGCCTTTGCTCAGCTTGAGAACGAGAGATCTCTGACATCTCTTCGTGACGAGCTAAGGGTAGCTCGTGGGATTGTTGATCGGTCTCGGGATGAGATAGCTGCTCTTCAGACCCTTGTTGATGCCCACCATCGGGAGCACAAGGCTCTCTGCGAGATGCTTGAGCGCAAGGGCGTTCTTCATCGGAAGAAGCAGCGTACTGATGGTACGGCTTAAGCCGACCAACGTAAAACGTGGGATGCGTTCGCATCTTACGTGGTAACTCGATCGTGTATGCATTGCCTAGGCGGTGCAATACACGAAATGGGCCGATGTACTTGGGTAGTAGTTTACTGCTACCCAAGTTAGTCACTACATGCTTTGGTAGATTAACCGTAGACAGTAGGACTAAGTCACCTTTATTAAATAAAAGAGTGTTTGCCCTTCCATTCTTGTCAGCGTTTTGCTTTTGCTTATCCACCGCTTCGGCGATGGAGTCTTGCACAAAACGGACTACCGTTTCACGAGCCAGTATGAACTCATCTGATGACTCGTTAGCTTCAGTGCGCTGTGAGCGCACTGCAGCAACATCAACCTTTTCTTCAGTGAGGGCTTCCGCACTCTCACTGGCATCATCTTCTTCGATATCGATGTTATCGATATCGGCATCAAACGCAATGACCTCTTCGTCAGAGCGTGATGAGCGTGAACCAAATCGGTTTTTGCTCGCGCGAGTCCCTCCCCCCTTAAACCAGAGTTACACTCTAGTAAGGTGGGTACACGCGGATGGCGTAAGCCATTCACGTAAAACGGTGTATGTGTCGTGGACGCATGCACCGAGTTGTTAATGGCAAACTCTACCATTGGCAAAAACTCACTCCAACTCTTAAAGGAGTGTACGTATCCTCGAAGTATCTCTTCGAGGACACGATTGGCACGTTCCGTCTGACCATCTGACTCTGGATGATCAGATGTCGACATCTTCAAGCGCGTTCCGAGTGATTTGAACACGGAACGCCAGAAATCAGCAGTGAATCGTGGATCTCTGTCTGATACGAGTTCACGGGGCAACCCATGAAGTCGGAAGATGGTGTCAATAAAGACACAAGCACAGCCACTTGCCGTGATTGACTCTGGTACAGCCACAAGGTGTACCATTTTGCTGAATCTGTCAACAAATACGAGAATACCCGTATTCCCGCGTGCGTCTTTGGGTAACCCGAAGACGAAATCCATTGAGATGGATTCCCAGCACTCAGCCGGAACCGGTAGAGGCTGTAAAGGTGCACGCAGTGAAGGACTTGACTTCACTCGTTGACAGACTTCGCATGCGCGAACATACTTTCGCACAAACTGATACTGGCGGGGCCAGTAAAAGTCTCGACTCACCGTGAGATATGTTTTCTCCCGGCCACGATGTCCTCCTATAGGAGCATCGTGATATCTCGAACATGATCCGCAAACGCAGATCAGTATCATCTGGAATGACAACACGTGGTGTGTCACCAGAAACGGCTGTATAATACAGTAAACCGTTACGAGTAGTGTATCGATCTGATGCAGATCGATACGCAGGCGACAATCGTTTCAACGATTCTCGAGATGGTTGGGAGAGATGTGTCAACAACTTCACTATCTCACCATCTTGGGCGTATGCCCGCCTCACATCATCATACAACGTTGTAGATGGGACTGAGGACGTCATAACCGCAACAGTGACTGTCTCACTGTTGGGTTTCACGACTGGTTCAAAGTCGGGACGACGTGAGAGTGCATCAGCGACGACATTAAGTCGTCCTGGTTTGTACTCGACCGTAAAGTTGTATTCCGCAAAGAATGACAACCACCGCGCCATTCGTTGTGAAAGGTGCGGGCTGTTCACTGCCGTGCGTAATGACGCATGGTCAGTGTAAACAATGAAGGGTCTATCTCCTAATAGATAGACTCTGAACTTCGCGAGTGCATACTTCATGGCAAGGAGTTCCTTGTCATGCACTGGATAGTTCCGCTCAGCTGGTTGCAGCTGACGCGACTGATAGCAGACGACGCGTTCAACGCCTTCAAGATCGTACTGCATTAATGCACAGCCGATTGCGAAATCGCTGGCATCACAGACCACATGAAATGGCCTGTCCTGATCGGCTATTGCTAGGACTGGGGATTGTATCAAGCTCTGCTTGATACCATCAAAGGAGCGCTGACATTCAGCGTTCCATAACCACCTCTCGTTCTTTTTCAACAAACGAGAGAGGTGCACAGTCATCTCGGCGTAATTGCGTGAATACTTATGCAAATACGCCGCTAGCCCAAGGAATTTTCGAAGACCTTTGACATCAACCGGCACAGGCCAGTCGGTGATCGCCTTGATCTTTTCGGGATCAGGACGTACACCGTTCTTACCAACGATG